GAGATTTTGGGGATCCAATGTGGATTTTATGGATTCAAAGGGGGATTTTGAGGCTCCAAAGGGGATTTTGTGCTTAAAAAAGAGGGATTTTACAGCTCCAAAGGGGCATTTTGGCACTCAGACCCAGATTTTTGCAGATCCAACGTGGAATTTTGGGATCAAAACAGGGATTGTTGAGATCCCAGATGGATTTTGGGGAATTTCATGGATTCAAATCAGAATTCCAGGAGATTTTTCGAGATCAAGTGCAGATTTTAGGCTCAAAACACGGATTTAGGATCCCCCCTACCCAGCCCTGGTGGGATCCCAGACCTGAAAATGTTGGGAATTCTTTGGGAATGTCGGGATTTTTTGGGGAATGTTGGGATTTTTTTGGGAATCTTACGTGGGGCTGAGCAGGGCCGGGGTGTACATGGGGATGAAATCCAGGTGAGCACGGACGTCAAACCTGTCGATCATGTTGTTGGTGTCCCCCTGCCAGGGCATCCTGCAGGGAAAAACCAAATTGGGAAGGGGAAAAATCCTGGAATTCCCACCTGGAATGGTCAGAATTCCTCCTTTTGCCTTCAGGAAAAAAAAAAAAAAAAAAAAATTAAAAAAAAAATTAAAAATCCGTGAATTGCGTCCGGAAAGGCGGCCCCCGGCCCCCCCCGGGATCCGTTACCGATATCCGGGATCACTTCGTCCTCGTCCGTGTTGGAATCTTCCTCCGAGTCCTCCTCATCCCCCCCTCGCTTCTCCAGGGAATTCTCCAGCTCCTCCACGGTGCTGTCCTCGTACGTGTAGCCTATGGAAGCCTTTTTTTCCGCCAGCCTGGGGAGGTTTGGGACACGAATCCCTCCATCCCGGGGATTTCCTCCCACGGGGAGATTCCCTCGGGAATGAGGAGACCCCAGCCCAACCCAACCCGGAGAGGGGAAATGGGAATTGTGAGGGAAAATGGGAGATGTGAGAGGGAATTCTGAGGGAAAATGGGAGATGTGAGAGGGAATTCTGAGGGAAAATGGGAATTCTGAGGGAAAATGGGAGATTTGAGAGGGAATTCAGAGGGAAAATGGGAAATGTGAGCAAAAATTCTGAGGGAAAATGGGAATTCAGAGGGAAAATGGGAAATTCTGAAGGAAATTGGGAAGTATCTGTGGGAATTCTGTTGGAAAATGGGAATTCTGAGGGAAAACAGGATTTCCAAGCTGGAATTCCAAGAAAAAATGGGAGCCCTGAGGCAGAACCCCAAGGGAAAAACGAGAATCCCAAGCCAGACCCCCAAACAAAACCAGGAGCCCTTCCCAGGATGGTTCTGGGGGAGATTGCAGCAAAAAAGTGAGGGGAAAACTCGAATTAAGGGGGTTATCCCACAATTAGGATCACTCCCAAGGGTCTGGGTGTGCATTCCTGGTGTTTTCCCACCCAGAATTCCCAGGAATTCCGACTTTTTTCCCTCACTTTTTCTTCTCGTCCTCGTTGGGTTTCTGGAGGCCCCCGTAGAGTTCGTCGATGTAGATCTGGTACAGGCACTGCTCCTCCGAGACTGGCATTGGGAATTCCGGGGTCAAATCATTCCCTAAATCCCTCAGGAACCACCCCCAGGGGATCCAGAGGGGCCAGAATTCCCAAAAAAAACAAAAAAAAAACGGGAAAAAGGGACTCACTGCCAGCGAAGTCGTTCTGCACCAGGCCCCGGTACCGCTCGTAGTTGCATTTGCGCTCGTCCGATTCCTGCTCTGGGGAGCTGGAAAAACGGGAATTCTGAGGGGATTTGGGGATCAAAACGGGGATTTGGGGAGTCAAAGGTGGATTTGGGGGTCCAAGCGTGGATTTGGGAGAAAAAAAAACAGGATTTGGGGGGAAAAAAACGCGGATTTTTAGGGATCTTCCCACACGGAGTTTCATTTGCGCTCGTCCGATTCCTGCTCTGGGGAGCTGGAAAAACGGGAATTCTGAGGGGATTTGGGGATCAAAACAAGGATTTGGGGAGTCAAAGGTGGATTTTGGGGTCTAAAGGTGGATTTGGGAGAAAAAAAACAGGATTTGGGGCGAAAAAAACGTGGATTTTTAGGGATCTTCCCACACGGAGTTTCATTTGTGCTCGTCCGATTCCTGCTCAGGGGAGCTGGGAAAACGGGAATTCTGAGGGGATTTGGGGATCAAAACGGGGATTTGGGGGGGTCAAAGGTGGATTTTGGAGATCAAAGAAAGATTTTGTGCTAAAAAAAGTTGGATTTGGGGGGAAAAAGGGGGATTTTTAGCGATCTTCCCACACGGAGTTTCATTTGCACTCATCCGATTCCTGCTCAGGGGAGCTGGAAAAACGGGAATTCTGAGGGGATTTTGGGATGAAAA